AGGATGTTGCTAATTGTTGGTTCATCTCACTCATTATTCCATGACCACCATTTTGTGCAATCATCAAATGGCTTCACGACGTAATGCTCTAATGTTTTCTAAATAATTTTTAATCTGTCTTTAACATGTCTTGTCATATTTTATATAATTTTAACCATTGCACCATGTATCCAGCTCTCACCATGTTACTGGACGTTTCCCTCATCCTATACGAAAACAACAATTAGCAACATCCTCACATACTACTGTAAGTTGATTCAATTTAAATTCATTTTACGCTTTTGTTGCCACTGTTATCATTGTAATTGCAGTTACTGATGATGATGGCAAAGTCCATTGAAAGCTAGAAAGAATTAAAACAAGTATAAAGAGTCCTCTTTGCTTAAATTTTCTCGAAGTACCCAACAAAAGGCGGAAGCTTTAATTTTTCACCTAACTGGTCTAGACGACAATGACCACGTCTCAAGTTATATATATATATATTAATCAGACAAAAACGTTGAATTTTAACTGGAGAAAATTCAATCACAAATTCCAAAGAGAGCTCGTCAGCTCGTTGATAATATGGATAGGACAGACCTCGGAGATGACAGACTCATGGGCAAAGATGGCCGTTCCACCACACTTGCTCTCAGATCTGCAAATACTACAAACCAGTGAAAATTAATTTATGCAGGTGCACTAAATTTGATAATTTTCTGACCAATGTTCATCAATACAAAGAAATTTTGTATATTGTTCTTGACCGTAAGCTTCCAAAGGTCTATTTTACCTGGCAAGCTCGTATGGATATTTATTATCTCGTCATGTTATTGTTGTCTTTGTGGAACACATGTTCGTTGTCAGGTGGAATCATTTTTTTGCCTCAGTAGGCCAAGAGGCAACAAGTGTATAATCCCGACTTGACTCAGCTGTTTCTGGGGAGACTCTCTACCATCAAGGGTAAGGTAACGGCTGAGACAATAATACCACGATTAAGTTGCGAGACACTGTATTCACTGAACCCCTATAGATATAAACTTATTGGAAATAGGGAATCTTAATTAAACTTAAAATATGTAGCCCTTCTGGCGCGCGCGACACGCTGACCCTCTTGCTCGCAATCCGTTCATCAGTAATCACCTGTGGTTTCTCATTGATTTTTGTAGCAAGATCCTTCTGTCTGAGTCCTTTAGCTTGACGCCCTTGCTGAATCAACTTGCCAACGTCCAATGGAATGGTTTCGTGTTTCAGTTCTTCAGTCTCACGATCAAGCTTTGCAGTATTCTTTGTGGTCACATGCTGTTTGTTACTACCAGATGTATTGTATTGAAAAATATAATTACATGTCCACACCACACACATAGTCTAAGCTGTAGACGAGAATATTGATTTGCCAGAATTAAACTTTGTCAATAAAGAGTGACATCTGTATGAGTTTAAGCTAGGGTTGCCTTTTGAAGAATTTGTTGCATTCGTTAACTTATATTTCTAGAATACTTACCTGGTGCATCAAAAGGCGGATGGTCTTTTATTCGAAATACATTCAATATATAATCCCTTGTACCGCAGAATATAATGTGGTGTTTTTCTGGGTTCTTTTGGGTGTGGATTAAAACTCGAGATTCCACAAAAATAAATGCACTTCTTTACTTTACTTGACCAGATAGAACATTTATGTACACCACTATTTATGTCTAACTAATTCTTATGCCGCGCCATTGATTGCACTCCACTCCGCTCTACTCTAATGTACCCCGCACCGTGCTTCCATCTCCCGGCCGTCGAGTTATATATACTCCGAATCGCTGCTTCGAGAGAGGTATGGCGAGCGACAAAGCGGCATCTAGAATATTTGAGGTCACCTGGCGTAGATCTAGAAGGCGAGTCACTGGTACGGGAAGGAGAGTCTCCTAATAGATGGCGCCAACAGTACTATCTATTATCGTCACACTGCCCCCTCGGTAAAGTCATTCCATCCCGGAATGATCTTATTGGCGGTGGATCTCGATATCGGCACGACTGCCCTTTCTTGCAGTAGGAGTTCTTAAGAATTAACAATCCACACTCCTTCCAGGAGGTAGCCGTCTAGGACTGTGACAACATACCAGAAATCGAATGGCCATTAGCATTGTGAGCCATAAAAAGATCAAATGTCATGTCCGATTCTGGTTGGATTTGCTGCATCGCCGCATCTTCGTTGTTTCCATGATAAGGTGCCCTGTAGTCGACGGAGTTTTTGAGGATCTATGACTGTAGGTTCTGATGGAGAAGGACTGACTTTGTGGCAGATGGGTTGTGGAGTCTTTATATCTAGCATAGATTTCAACTAATCCTAGTCATTTCTCAACTAATAGATATTGATTCAGCTTGTGGAAAACTCTGAATGTATAATTTAATTTTTGTAAAAAATGTTCTTGCCATTTAATTTTTGCCGAGCTATAGGTAAGGGAGGCAGCTGCTCCTGGGTACGCCCTTGTATAGATAGAAAGCACTTTCTGGGATTTACTAGCCTTTATTGAGGACATGCAACATTGCAAATTACCGAGGAGATGTCTCCAAACATCCTAATGTAAATAAACAGGTCTATATTTTTTATTAGCGGTGTTTTTGTGAGATGTAAATTTGAATATTGTTGGCTCGTCGGCAATTGTTTATGAAGTTACACGTCTCGTTGAAGGGTGTCTGATAATTCTAGGTCTTTAACGACCTCACGTCCATTTTTGAAACTGTTGGACTACTTGAACATCTGGCTCCAATAAAGCTAAACGTTTCCTTAGTCATTCTGTCGAAACGGAAGCAAAATGGGAGATTGCATTGCATGCAACTGGGTTGCTGCACGGCAATTATGAAACGCGCTCTGTATTGGTTTTTGTCAATAATAATGTAATGTATCTATTTGTATTCTGATCTACCTGTATATGTCATGGAAATGACACTTCGGTCCGGAACGTCAACCTGAACGTTTTGCCAAAGGACTGTTATTTAAAACTGTTACAATTACTGCTTAATAGACCACTTGACATTTGAAATAAAAGTGCGTACTACTTGTGATCCTTTGTAAGCGTATCCCGTACAATACCAAACATTACAGTGGCATGCATGGTACGATTCTAATAAAAATTACAGGTTACCACAGCTGAGGAAGATTGGAAATGCCGTTTGCACCCACCCGCTCTACCAACTGACGAAATAACCTGGATATGTTCAGAATGCGGAGATTGGATGTGTAAACCTAGCGTAGAATTGCCAAAGATCAACATGACCCTGCACGAAGCACTCCAGAATCCCGTTTTAGGAATATCTGAGCCGTTATGCGACGATCTGGTGGTATGTCTATCGAACCCGAGGTATCAAGTACTCAGTTGATACCTGCCTTGGGACGACCTCCATAGAATTTGCAAAATGTACTTGCATGACCCGCAGAATGCTAAGAATTTAGTCACTGAGCTGAAATTTGTTGACATAGATTACTCTATGTTTAAAAATATCAAGACAGAACCACTGGATGAGCTTGCTGGTATTGAGAGAGGATACGAACAGTATTTAGATCAGAATTTTGTTTCTGATGAAGAATCGCCGTCAAATAGCGAAGATTCGATGTCACAGGACTCACGACCGTACAGTCTTGGAAGTGACGGTGCCGGAGACTTCTTTTTACCGTTACTGAATACACTGCCGAAAAAATTCGATCCCACGACCTTCAAAACCCTGAGAGAATTTAGACCGGCATTAAAAAGGCACAAGGATAAGGATTCGAACGAAGGCACGCCTGAAAAACAGTTCAAGCCTTCTTCTAGCGAACCTCAGCCTTCGACTTCGACAGCCACAGATGAGTCAAAAAACGTAAAACTTGCCACATTGCGCCAACTTCGTGGGCAAGTGGCAAAGGAAATGAAAGTAATGAAAATAACGCTAAAGGATATATTAAAAAAATTACATCAGAAAACAGAAAAAGAATCCATGGAGCAACAACCTCTCAAGGAGATAGTATCTGTAAAACCAACAGAACAAACATTGAACAAAGAAACACAAAACAGGCTCTCGTTCAGTTCATCCAGATAAAATCTGGATATCAGCAGCTCTCAGAAGAAAGTTCTCATAAGCATACCCAAGGAAAGAATAAAAATGTCTCAGGTCATTGCTCAATACCCGCCACGAAGTCAACCAAGAACCATTACGCGGAAGCATACGCCTCTGATACTAAAATCATCAAAGTCAACTCATCAAATCAAGGTAGTACCTCCAAGCTCCCAGAAAGAAACCAGTACTGCGCTCTCATTGGAACAGAAATTACTGCTGCGCTCTCGGCAAACGCAACCAGTGCTGGAAAACCCAATCAACGAGGTGGCACCAGTGAATTCGCAAGTAGGAGCTATCCCTCCGCTGCTTCAATCCGCACCACGTCCAAGCACACTGTCTCCCAAGATTCAAGACTCACATCCAATAACTTCAGTGGAAACTCAGTCTCAAACGCCAGCTATCGGCCAGCAGTTGGTACGCAACACGATACCACAAAGTTTGATAAGCCCACAACCAATCAGCAAGACTCTGCAAGTTCACGACACTCAACCCAACACCTCAAAAGGACCGAGTACACCTCAGCCTGTAAGGAACGACAAAATTACGGATCCTCAGCCCAGCACCACAAGGAAACCACTATTACTACGAGTGAAAACACCTGTGTGGCTCAGTACAGCGGATGTACCTCAACCTCGGGGAACCAGCTCAGAATTAATAATCGCAAAAAGTCAAGCGGTTTTACCCCAGACCAGCAAAGCATCAACAGCAGTGACACCTTCCAAACAGCGAGCCAACATTCTGCAACCCAAGGTGATTACCTTGGCTCAGCATCAGCCATGCCTATTTCAGGAAACCAGTTTACTATCAACATTCCCAGAACTCCAGGCAGAAGTACCTGCGGCCAGCCTAGTAAAAACTACGGCCAAGGAGGTCAGTCTGCCTCAGCCAAGGGAACATCAGGGATCCAGTTCCAAATCAGTTCTGAGAAGCAAAGCGGTAGTATCTCCAATTCCAGTCAACGTGGTCACTCTTCCTATACCAGTGGTACCTCCGGGGAGTACTCCTCGAGTAAAGACGCTCTCTATCCTTCAGATAGTGCCGCCTCGAACAACAAACGCACGGGCAGTACCCCAGCCACCATCTGTCAGTCCGCATTCAACAACAAGACTTACTTCACCACCAGTAGTACAAAAAATGACTGTCAAACGTCAAATTTTGGATATGCCACAACAAATAGCTTATGTGACTCAGCAAGAAGTCAGTCATGTAGTGGCCAGGGATATGACACAACAGGAATTAACATCTGCCAAGCCTCAGGAAGTCAGTCTAACGTTGAAGGATATGGCTCAACAGGACCTCCAGTCTACGTCTCAGAATGTTCGAGAACCCAGTCCTTCAAACAGTCAGACTCTAACAGAAGCTGGGACGAGGGGGATGGACCGACTTATTCAGGCAACTCGGAATTTCGATGCTCGCCAAAAGGAGAAGCACAATATAACTGTTCAGAAGCAGCGAATCCAAGCAGGCAACCTCCAGGACACACAACTCATACTACAGGCCTCGCTAGAAATGAAGTGCACGCTACAGGAAGTCGGACAGGGTCAACCATCTTCATCAACTCAGGCAGCATCGTTACAAAAGGACATCCCAATCGTGTCTCCCATGAAGACACATCAGATATTAACAGAAATCTATCCTTGGACGCTAGAAGGGAGCAGACTGAGCACACCATCCCCAGAATTTGCTCAGTTAGTGCAACAGATAACAACAGAGGTTCACAATCCTTCGACGTTGCAGGAGGACAGCCCGGTTCAACAAATAGAGACCAGTCCACCTCAGTTGCCACTAGAGGACTTGATGGATCAACTGTCTTCCTTACAAGAAACCGATCCAACATCACCAGATATCAATCCGCCTCGATCACTGCTAGAGGAACTATTTCAGATCGAAAACCTGGATCACTTAGTCAGTCATATAACTCAAAAAACCAACAGCATGCCGACTACACCTCCACAGGAGTCGCACAAACTTCCAGTAGAGATGAATCTTCGTCTCCAACAAGAAATCAGTCCTTCTCCTACCCTGTTAGGCAGTTCATCTCTGCATGCGATGGAAAAGGATCATCTGCCTCCACAACCCATCTGCCACAAAGTCAGTCCTTCTCCATCAGAACCTACAGTCATAGATCCTCAAAAACTCCGTCGACTACAGGGCACCTTATCATGGAAACAACGAAGATGCGGCGATGCAGCAAATCCAACCAGAATCGGACATGACATTTGATCTTTTTATGGCTCACAATGCTAATGCCCATTCGATTTCTGGTATGTTGTCACAGTCCTAGATGGCTACCTCCTGGAAGGAGTGTGGATTGTTACTTCTTAAGAACTCCTACTGCAAGAAAGGGCAGTCGTGCCGATATCGAGATCCACCGCCAATAAGACCATTCCGGGACGGAATGACTTTACCGAGGGGGCAGTGTGACGATAATAGATAGTACTGTTGGCGTCATCTATTAGGAGACTCTCCTTCTCGTACCAGTGACTCGCCTTCTAGATCTTGAGTCAGCTGTTTTTGGGGAGACTCTCTACCATCAAGGGTAAGGTAACGGCTGAGACAATAATACCACGATTAAGTTGCGAGACACTGTATTCACTGAACCCCTATAGATATAAACGTATTGGAAATAGGGAATCTTAATTAAACTTAAAATATGTAGCCCTTCTGGCACGCGCGACACGCTGACCCTCTTGCTCGCAATCCGTTCATCAGTAATCACCTGTGGTTTCTCATTGATTTTTGTAGCAAGATCCTTCTGTCTGAGTCCTTTAGCTTGACGCCCTTGCTGAATCAACTTGCCAACGTCCAATGGAATGGTTTCGTGTTTCAGTTCTTCAGTCTCACGATCAAGCTTTGCAGTATTCTTTGTGGTCACATGCTGTTTGTTACTACCAGATGTATTGTATTGAAAAATATAATTACATGTCCACACCACACACATAGTCTAAGCTGTAGACGAAAATATTGATTTGCCAGAATTAAACTTTGTCAATAAAGAGTGACATCTGTATGAGTTTAAGCTAGGGTTGCCTTTTGAAGGATTTGTTGCATTCGTTAACTTATATTTCTAGAATACTTACCTGGTGCATCAAAAGGCGGATGGTCTTTTATTCGAAATACATTCAATATATAATCCCTTGTACCGCAGAATATAATGTAGTGTTTTTCTGGGTTCTTTTGGGTGTGGATTAAAACTCGAGATTCCACAAAAATAAATGCACTTCTTTACTTTACTTGACCAGATAGAACATTTATGTACACCACTATTTATGTCTAACTAATTCTTATGCCGCGCCATTGATTGCACTCCACTCCGCTCTACTCTAATGTACCCCGCACCGTGCTTCCATCTCCCGGCCGTCGAGTTATATATACTCCGAATCGCTGCTTCGAGAGAGGTTTGGCGAGCGACAAAGCGGCATCTAGAATATTTGAGGTCACCTGGCGTAGATCTAGAAGGCGAGTCACTGGTACGAGAAGGAGAGTTTCCTAATAGATGGCGCCAACAGTACTATCTATTATCGTCACACTGCCCTCTCGGTAAAGTCATTCCGTCCCGGAATGTTCTTATTGGCGGTGGATCTCGATATCGGCACGACTGCCCTTTCTTGCAGTAGGAGTTCTTAAGAAGTAACAATCCACACTCCTTCCAGGAGGTAGCCGTCTAGGACTGTGACAACATACCAGAAATCGAATGGCCATTAACATTGTGAGCCATAAAAAGATCAAATGTCATGTCCGATTCTGGTTGGATTTGCTGCATCGCCGCATCTTCGTTGTTTCCATGATAAGGTGCCCTGTAGTCGACGGAGTTTTTGAGGATCTATGACTGTAGGTTCTGATTTAGAAGGACTGACTTTGTGGCAGATGGGTTGTGGAGGCAGATGATCCTTTTCCATCGCATGCAGAGATGAACTGCCTAACAGGGTAGGAGAAGGACTGATTTCTTGTTGGAGACGAAGATTCATCTCTACTGGAAGTTTGTGCGACTCCCGTGGAGGTGTAGTCGGCATGCTGTTGGTTTCTTGAGTTATATGACTGACTAAGTGATCCAGGTTTTAGATCTGAAATAGTTCCTCTGGCAGTGATCGAGGCGGATTGATATATGGTGATGTTGGATCAGTTTCTTGTAAGGAAGACAGTTGATCCATCAAGTCCTCTAGTGGCAACTGAGGTGGACTGGTCTCTATTTGTTGAACCGGGCTGTCCTCCTGCAACGTCGAAGGATTGTGAACCTCTGTTGTTATCTGTTGCACTAACTGAGCAAATTCTGGGGATGGTGTGCTCAGTCTGCTCCCTTCTAGCGTCCAAGGATAGATTTCTGTTAATATCTGATGTGTCTTCATGGGAGACGCGATTGGGATGTCCTTTTGTAACGATGCTGCCTGAGTTGATGAAGATGGTTGACCCTGGCCGACTTCCTGTAGCGTGCACTTCATTTCTGGCGAGGCCTGTAGTATGAGTTGTGTGTCCTGGAGGTCGCCTGCTTGGATTCGCTGCTTCTGAACGGTTATATTGTGCTTCTCCTTTTGGCGAGCATCGAAATTTCGAGCTGCCTGAATAAGTCGGTCCATCCCCCTCGTCCCAGCTTCTGTTAGAGTCTGACTGTTTGAAGGACTGGGTTCTCGAATATTCTGAGACGTAGTCTGGAGGTCATGTTGAGCCATATCCTTCAACGTTAGACTGACTTCCTGAGGCTTGGCAGATGTTAATTCCTGTTGTGTCATATCCCTGGCCACTACATGACTGACTTCTTGCTGAGTCACATAAGCTATTTGTTGTGGCATATCCAAAATTTGACGTTTGACAGTCATTTTTTGTACTACTGGTGGTGAAGTAAGTCTTGTTGTTGAATGCGGACTGACAGATGGTGGCTGGGGTACTGCCCGTGCGTTTGTTGTTCGAGGCGGCACTATCTGAAGGATAGAGAGCGTCTTTACTCGAGGAGTACTCCCCGGAGGTACCACTGGTATAGGAAGAGTGACCACGTTGACTGGAATTGGAGATACTACCGCTTTGCTTCTCAGAACTGATTTGGAACTGGATCCCTGATGTTCCCTTGGCTGAGGCAGACTGACCTCCTTGGCCGTAGTTTTTACTAGGCTGGCCGCAGGTACTTCTGCCTGGAGTTCTGGGAATGTTGATAGTAAACTGGTTTCCTGAAATAGGCATGGCTGATGCTGAGCCAAGGTAATCACCTTGGGTTGCAGAATGTTGGCTCGCTGTTTGGAAGGTGTCACTGCTGTTGATGCTTTGCTGGTCTGGGGTAAAACCGCTTGACTTTTTGCGATTATTAATTCTGAGCTGGTTCCCCGAGGTTGAGGTACATCCGCTGTACTGAGCCACACAGGTGTTTTCACTCGTAGTAATAGTGGTTTCCTTGAGGTGCTGGGCTGAGGATCCGTAATTTTGTCGTTCCTTACAGGCTGTGGTGTACTCGGTCCTTTTGAGGTGTTGGGTTGAGTGTCGTGAACTTGCAGAGTCTTGCTGATTGGTTGTGGGCTTATCAAACTTTGTGGTATCGTGTTGCGTACCAACTGCTGGCCGATAGCTGGCGTTTGAGACTGAGTTTCCACTGAAGTTATTGGATGTGAGTCTTGAATCTTGGGAGACAGTGTGCTTGGACGTGGTGCGGATTGAAGCAGCTCCTACTTGCGAATCCACTGGTGCCACCTCGTTGATTGGGTTTTCCAGCACTGGTTGCGTTTGCCGAGAGCGCAGCAGTAATTTCTGTTCCAATGAGAGCGGAGTACTGGTTTCTTTCTGGGAGCTTGGAGGTACTACCTTGATTTGATGAGTTGACTTTGATGATTTTAGTATCAGAGGCGTATGCTTCCGCGTAATGGTTCTTGGTTGACTTCGTGGCGGGTATTGAGCAATGACCTGAGACATTTTTATTCTTTCCTTGGGTATGCTTATGAGAACTTTCTTCTGAGAGCTGCTGATATCCAGATTTTTTTCTGGATGAACTGAACGAGGGCCTGTTTTGTGTTTCTTTGTTCAATGTCTGTTCTGTTGGTTTTACAGATACTATCTCCTTGAGAGGTTGTTGCTCCATGGATCCTTATTCTGTTTTCTGATGTAATTTTTTTAATATATCCTTTAGCGTTATTTTCATTACTTTCATTTCTCTTGCCACTTGCCCACGAAGTTGGGGCAATGTGGCAAGTTTTACGTTTTTTGACTCATCTGTGGCTGTCGAAGTCGAAGGCTGAGGTTCGCTAGAAGAAGGCTTGAACTGTTTTTCATTCGTGCCTTCGTTCGAATCCTTATCCTTGTGCCTTTTTAATGCCGGTCTAAATTCTCTCAGGTTTTTGAGGGTCGTGGGATCGGATTTTTTCGGTAGTGTATTCAGTAACGGTAAAAAGAAGTCTCCGGCACCGTCACTTCCAAGACTGTACGGTCGTGAGTCCTGTGACATCGAATCTTCGCTATTTGACGGCGATTCTTCATCAGAAACAAAATTCTGATCTAAATACTGTTCGTATCCTCTCTCAATACCAGCAAGCTCATCCAGTGGTTCTGTCTTGATATTTTTAAACATAGAGTAATCTATGTCAACAAATTTCAGCTCAGTGACTAAATTCTTAGCATTCTGCGGGTCATGCAAGTACATTTTGCAAATTCTATGGAGGTCGTCCCAAGGCAGGTATCAACTGAGTACTTGATACCTCGGGTTCGATAGACATACCACCAGATCGTCGCATAACGGCTCAGATATTCCTAAAACGGGATTCTGGAGTGCTTCGTGCAGGGTCATGTTGATCTTTGGCAATTCTACGCTAGGTTTACGCATCCAATCTCCGCATTCTGAACATATCCAGGTTATTTCGTCAGTTGGTAGAGCGGGTGGGTGCAAACGGCATTTCCAATCTTCCTCAGCTGTGGTAACCTGTAATTTTTATTAGAATCGTACCATGCATGCCACTGTAATGTTTGGTATTGTACGGGATATGCTTACAAAGGATCACAAGTAGTACGCACTTTTATTTCAAATGTCAAGTGGTCTATTAAGCAGTAATTGTAACAGTTTTAAATAACAGTCCTTTGGCAAAACGTTCAGGTTGACGTTCCGGACCGAAGTGTCATTTCCATGACATATACAGGTAGATCAGAATACAAATAGATACATTACATTATTATTGACAAAAACCAATACAGAGCGCGTTTCATAATTGCCGTGCAGCAACCCAGTTGCATGTAATGCAATCTCCCATTTTGCTTCCGTTTCGACAGAATGACTAAGGAAACGTTTACCTTTATTAGAGCCAGATGTTCAAGTAGTCCAACAGTTTCAAAAATGGACGTGAGGCCGTTAAAGACCTAGAATTATCAGATTCCCTTCAACGAGACGTGTAACTTCATAAACAATTGCCGACGAGCCAACAATATTCAAATTTACATCTCACAAAAACACCGCTAATAAAAAATATAGACCTGTTTATTTACATTAGGATGTTTGGAGACATCTCCTCGGTAATTTGCAATGTTGCATGTCCCTCAATGAAGGCTAGTAAATCCCAGAAAGTGCTTTCTATCTATACGAGGGCGTCCCCAGGAGCAGCTGCCTCCCTTACCTATAGCTCGGCAAAAATTAAATGGCAAGAACATTTTTTACAAAAATTAAATTATACATTCAGAGTTTTCCACAAGCTGAATCAATATCTATTAGTTGAGAAATGACTAGGATTAGTTGAAATCTATGCTAGATATAAAGACTCCACAACCCATCTGCCACAAAGTCAGTCCTTCTCCATCAGAACCTACAGTCATAGATCCTCAAAAACTCCGTCGACTACAGGGCACCTTATCATGGAAACAACGAAGATGCGGCGATGCAGCAAATCCAACCAGAATCGGACATGACATTTGATCTTTTTATGGCTCACAATGCTAATGGCCATTCGATTTCTGGTATCTTGTCACAGTCCTAGACGGCTACCTACTGGAAGGAGTGTGGATTGTTACTTCTTAAGAACTCCTACTGCAAGAAAGGGCAGTCGTGCCGATATCGTGATCCACCGCCAATAAGATCATTCCGGGACGGAATGACTTTACCGAGGGGGCAGTGTGACGATAATAGATAGTACTGTTGGCGCCATCTATAAGGAGACTTTCCTTCTCGTACCAGTGACTCGCCTTCTAGATCTACGCCAGGTGACCTCAAATATTCTAGATGCCGCTTTGTCGCTCGCCAAACCTCTCTCGAAGCAGCGATTCGGAGTATATATAACTCGACTGCCGGGAGATGGAAGCACGGTGCGGGGTACATTAGAGTAGAGCGGAGTGGAGTGCAATCAATGGCGCGGCATAAGAATTAGTTAGACATAAATAGTGGTGTACATAAATGTTCTATCTGGTCAAGTAAAGTAAAGTAGTGCATTTATTTTTGTGGAATCTCGAGTTTTAATCCACACCCAAAAGAACCCAGAAAAACGTTACATTATATTCTGCGGTACAAGGGATTATATATTGAATGTATTTCGAATAAAAGATCCGCCTTTTGATGCACCAGGTAAGTATTCTAGAAATATAAGTTAACGAATGCAACAAATTCTTCAAAAGGCAACCCTAGCTTAAACTCATACAGATGTCACTCTTTATTGACAAAGTTTAATTCTGGCAAATCAATATTCTCGTCTACAGCTTAGACTATGTGTGTGGTGTGGACATGTAATTATATTTTTCAGTACAATACATCTGGTAGTAACAAACAGCATGTGACCACAAAGAATACTGCAAAGCTTGATCGTGAGACTGAGGAACTGAAACACGAAACCATTCCATTGGACGTTGGCAAGTTGATTCAGCAAGGGCGTCAAGCTAAAGGACTCAGACAGAAGGATCTTGCTACAAAAATCAATGAGAAACCACAGGTGATTACTGATGAACGGATTGCGAGCAAGAGGGTCAGCGTGTCGCGCGCGCCAGAAGGTCTACATATTTTAAGTTTAATTAAGATTCCCTATTTCCAATACGTTTATATCTATAGGGGTTCAGTGAATACAGTGTCTCGCAACTTAATCGTGGTATTATTGTCTCAGCCGTTACCTTACCCTTGATGGTAGAGAGTCTCCCCAGAAACAGCTGACTCAAGTCGGGATTATACACTTGTTGCCTCTTGGCCTACTGAGGCAAAAAAATGATTCCATCTGACAACGAACATGTGTTCCACAAAGACAACAAAAACATGACGAGATAATAAATATCCATACGAGCTTGCCAAGTAAAATAGACCTTTGGAAGCTTACGGTCAAGAACAATATACAAAATTCCTTTGTATGGATGAACATTGGTCAGAAAATGATCAAATTTAGTGCACTTGTATAAATGAATTTTCACTGGTTTGTAGTATTTGCAGATCTGAGAGCAAGTGTGGTGGAACGGCCATCTTTGCCCATGAGTCTGTCACCTCCGAGGTCTGTCCTATCCATATTATCAACGAGCTGACGAGCTCTCTTTGGAACCTGTGATTGAATATTCTCCAGTTAAAATTCAACGTTTTTGTCTGATTAATATATATATATATATATATATATATATATATAAACTTTGCCATCATCATCAGGAGCTGCAATTACAATGATAACAGTAGCAACAAAGGTGTAAAATGAATTTAAATTGACTCAACTTACAGTAGTATGTGAGAATGTTGCTAATTGTTGTTTATGTATAGGATGAGGGAAACGTCCAGTAACATGGTGAGAGCTGAATAGGTTGCACAATAGTCAAAATTTATACAAAACATGACAAGAACACGTTAAAAACAGATTAAAAATTATTTTAAAAAATTAGAACATTACATCGTGAAACCACCTGATGATTGCACAAATTAGTGGTCATGGAATGATGAATTGATGAGTGACATGAAACCCTTTGACAGAAGGCCGAAGGATGTCAATGTCAGTATTGAAAGATGGAACGAATTGTGGGCGTGTGCCAAAAACGTTGCCAAATCACTTCAGATGAAGAGATTTTCAGAATTTTATGATGGAATTTGTTAAACCGACCAGAGGCAGTTGAATAAACTATATTATTATTAATGGGAATTTAAATTAACAATTATTAATAAATCGTGAGGAGAGAATTATTATATTTTGAGTGGAATGAAATTTACTGGTGGAAACGGCCAAAACACAGATTCTAATTATGGTTGTGAAGAGTTGAAATTTGGGGAGATATGTAAGTTCTCCAATTTTTCGCAGTTTAGCAAATATGAGTAAATGACACTCAGTTGTTTAACATCTGTCTTTTTGTTGATACAGTTGTTATTCATGAAAATGTGGGACATTTCCAGGAATAAACGTTTGGAAAGGTGTTTTTCTTTATCAAGAACTTTGATACTTGTGTAATTCATAGAATGCCCTGTTGTGTTAACATGAGATGCTAGAGCGCATCTTTCAGGATGAAGCCTAGCATCACTTTTGTGTGATGTAATCCTTCCTTTAAGAGATCTGGAGGTCTGACCTATGTATATTTGGTTGCAGTTGTTGCAATTGATGGAGTAAACTGTGTTGGTTAAGCCAAGCAGCGGGACTTTGTCTTTCATTTTTGAAAAAATGCAGTTTATAGTGAGGACGGATTTGCAAGCAATTCGAAAGTTCAAAGGACTGCACAATCTGATCAGCTTAGGGGTCAGTTCCTTGATGTAGGGCAGGACAGCAAAACCAGGTCTGGAGTCCGGGTTGGTGCTAGTACTGTTAGGATTGATGTTATTATTGGGAATTACATCAGTTCCGTTATTAGGGGTTGTGCGACTATTACCTGCATCACCAGAGTTCGGCAAAATATTGGAAGGTGAACTAAAAATGATCTTGTTAATCAGACACTTCGGATAACCATTATTGATGAACAGTTTTGATAGTTTACGTAAATTTGAGGTGTGGAAGGTATTATCTGAGATGCTGATTACCCTTGTTTTCATCTGTTTTACCAAATTGATTTTAATCCCTAGCTTATGGTATGACCTAAAATTGAGAAACCGACCTGAGGCCATAGGTTTCTGGTACCAGTCTACCAATAAACTGTTGTTGTTGGTGCGAATGAGTCTTGTGTCTAGAAAGGGGACAGACAGGTTCTCATCTTCTTTTTCAATGGTAAATTGGATGTAGGGGTCATAGCTGTTGAATTCTCTGACAATACCATCCAGACCTATGGAAGGGAGGCATAAAATAATGTCATCTACGTATTTTTTTATGAAGAAGAGGTTATAGGGTAGTGTCGGAATAACTGTATCAAGCAGATCATCCATGACATATTCCGCCAAAATTGGTGACAGAACAGATCCCATAGGACAACCATGTGTTTGAGAATATATTTTGTTGTTGAAAGAGAAATAATTGTTATGAAAAAGGAATGTTATAATGTTGGTGAAAGATTCTAGAGATATGTTGCAGTGTTGACTTATCTCATTCCAGTGTTTATTAATAGTTCTTGTACATGCATCCAGATAGATGTTGCTGAATAGCGACACCACATCAAGACTGGCGATAATATGATCGGCTGGTATTGTCAATCTATTGAACTGACGAGAGACCTCAAATGAGTCTTTGATGTAGTAATCATTGTCTGCATGTGCTGATTTTAGTGTTGTCGATATTAATGAAGACAAAGCCTGGGTGGCTGAAACTATTGATGCAACTATAGGTCTTACTGAGAGTACAGGTTTGTGAATTTTCGGAAGTGCATAAAATTTGGGAGGGACAGAGTTATAAGTAGTCAAAGTTCTTTTTTGTTCTTGGGTTATTTGTCCAGTGCTGAGGAGTTCCTTAACAATGTCATTACTTTTCTTTTCCACTTTAAGTGTGGGATCTTTATTAATTTCATGATATGATGGGTCATCATTGATGAGATTGTTGCAAAGATCTAAATAGTGTTGTTTAAGCATTATCACTGTAACATTGCCTTTGTCAGATCTTGTAACCATAAGTTCAGGATGTTGTTTTAGAAATGTTCTAGTTATGTTTAAAAGGTTGTGATAAAAGGAATGTTTTTTATTAAGATTGTTATTATGATAGTAGTTAGTGATGAGGTTAGTGGAACGAGTTGTGAAAATGTTTCTTTCAGTGTCATCACTTATGGAGGATGCTATTGTGTCTACATCCGCTAAGATTGATCTGATTGGAATGTCATTGTTAACAATCGGCTCTACACTGAACTTAGGCCCCAAGGAAAGAAATTTTAATATGTCATGAGGGATGTCAACGTTACTGAGATTTTTTATCCAATTTTGTTGAGTGTTGAGGAAGGTTTTTTTGGTGTCATTCAACAATTTGTCAAACTTACGAGTGTTGGAGTTTTTTATGTTATGAAAGATTTTATTGTAATGTCTGAGTTGTCTATATTTGAAATTATCAAAAATTAAGGGAGAAGTGGAAGAAATTATGTCACTTTGGAGTGAATTGAGTATGGAATGAAGTTTTTTCAACTGTCTGTGGCAGGAAGATATCTCAAGCGTGAGTATTTTGTCACCTAACCTGTGCAGACGATTTTTCATCCCATCTTCTATTGAATGGCTTTCTAGTAAGTGTGTGATTGATGTTAAACGGTGGGTGATGTGATGTGGTGTAATGCCATGTTTTCTACATTTTAATAAGAAAATCCGTCGATTGATCTCCTGTGCCAGTCGTTTTCTGCCCTTGATCCAGTCCTTCATCATTCTTACTGCAGAAATATATATATAACTTGAGACGTGGTCATTGTCGTCTAGACCAGGTAGGTGAAAAATTAAAGCTTCCGCCTTTTGTTGGGTACTTCGACAAAATTTAAGCAAAGAGGACTCTTTATACTTGTTTTAATTCTCTCTAGCTTTCAATGGACTTTGCCATCATCATCAGTAGCTGCAAGTACAATGATAACAGTAGCAACAAAAGTGTAAAATGAATTTAAATTGACTCTACTTGCAGTAATACGTGAGGATGTTGCTAATTGTTGTTTACGTATAGGATGAGGGAAACGTCCAGTAACATTGTGAGAGCTGGATAGATGGTACAATGGTCAAAATTATACAAAATATGACAAGAACAAGTTAAAAACAGATTAAAATTATTTAAAAAACATTAGAGCATTACATCGTGAAGCCACTTGATGATTGCACAAAATGGTGGTCATGGAATAGTGAGCCAAGCTGCGGGACTTTGTCTTTCATTTTTGAAAAAATGCAGTTTATAGTGAGGACGGATTTGCAAGCAATTCGAAAGTTCAAAGGACTGCACAATCTGATCAGCTTAGGGGTCAGTTCCTTGATATGTTTACGCCCGTTCTTTGCTGTCAAAGTGGTGGAGTTAGTTCGTCCAGAGCTAGTCGATGGCATGGAGGAACTAGTGCTAGCAATGTTTGAGAGTTTTTCTTCCGTATTTCGATTGTAGATGCCCAATGCGTCTAGCTCGAACCTGTTCATCTGTTCCTTTCTTGCGATCTTCAGACGCCTTCTGTACCGTTCAAACTGATCCTTGAACGACAACAGTTTTTCCTTTAGGTCGCCTAGATATTTGCTCAACCCGTCGGCAATAGTAGGCAGTTCTAAATCAAGACCCAGTGATACTGGTAGGCATATGGCGTGCCTGAAGGACTTGAAGTCCATCAAAGTCTTGATCGTCTTCTTATAATCTTTATTATGGTATTCCAACACTATCTCAGCTTCCTCTACCCTTTTCTCTTTTACCAGATCATCCGCAATCTTCCCCAACACATCTCGCTTGACAGATTCATCATACTTCAATACAGTCATAAGCCTTATGACCTCTCTCTAGTCTAAACCAAGTCTATATTCTTCTATCGCCTCTTTATGTAGTCCAGCATTCATGTAGACGACAGCTGCCTCTTGAAACTTGCGTTTTCTTGAAAGGCTTTGCGCATAGAGTCTGATAATTTGAAAGTAGCTCCTATGGCACGGGTCAACGGTTTTGAATGCTTGCTTTTGCAGGTCGTTAAGAAATATGAAATTTTCAACAAGCCCTTCATCAAATCCGTCATATTATACATTTCATTATATAGATAACGAACGGCCTGTAGAATTCACGAGGTGTAGTTATTTCCATCGGAGCACGTATGTCATACAGCA